ACGTCCAAAAAATCATCGCCAATTTCAGTATCACTGTTTTCTCCAGGATTCCAGGATTCGAACTGATCCGGATGCTCCTGCTTCTGTCTTGCAACCAATCACAGAGAGCCTGATGTTGCGCATGCTCAGACTCACCAGCCAATCAGAACGCGCCACGGCAAAATAAGTGTTTCTCGAACATAGTAGGTTCACGGCTTTATATATATACTTCGTTATCATTATCATCATTATTACTATTATCATTATCATAATGATCATTAATATTATTGAATATCATTGTTATTATAACTATGAATATTTTCATTCGTAATATATCAATTATTGTTAATATTATCATTACTATCGTTACTGCTATTGCCATTGTTACTTTCATTATCATTCTCATATTTATTATCATTATTTTTATTATCATAATCATTATGTTAATGATGACGGTGGCGATGATGGTGATGGTGATGAGGATAATAACAGTTATATTGATGACCATGATAATAATAATGATATAATTCGTAGTAGCAATAGTAATAATGATAATGATAATAATAACATAATGATAATGATAGCAATAATGATAATGATAATTGTAGTAATGATATACAATATCAATAACAATGATGATGGTGATAAAAATAATTATAATAATAATTATTATATAAGTAATAATGATAATAACAATGGTGATGATATTATAATGGTAATGATGATAAGAAAAAATAATGATAATGAATATTATAATAATGAAAATTATAATAATAACAATAATGATCATAATAATACTATTGATGATGGTAATAATAACTATAATAATCATAATAATAATCATAATAATAGCAGCTATAATAACAATGAATATAATTATCATTAACGTTGTCATTATCATTATTGTTATCATTAATATCATTACAGATATTCCATCATTATCATTATTACTGTTATCATTATTATCATTGTTATTACTAATATTATCATAAATATTTTTTTTAGTATTGTTATCATCATTACCATTGTCATTATTGCCATTGTCATTATAATTGTTATTATCATCATCACCTTCATCGCCACCGTCATAATGAACATTGTCATAATGAGTATGATAATGATAGTTATTATGATAATTATGATGTTATGAGTGAAAATAAGATTGATACCAATACTAATGACAATAGCAATAATGCTAATGATGGTAGTGATAATGATAAGATTATAGTATCGAAAATAATGAAAATGATTTTAAAAATACAAAAAAATAATAATCATAAAAACAAAAACAATGAATAATAATGATAACAATAACGATAATGATAATTTTGACAACGACAACAATGTTAATGATGATAAAGACAGTTATGTCCTTGACACTGAAAAAATATACCAGGAGCCTACATCTACATCTGAAAAAAACTAGTGTATCTAAAACTACACTTGGAAAAAGAGCAGCGGTTTTTTACCTTTTCCCCTGTAGTCCCATTGGTTTCATGAATAGTAATGGATGAAGACCGCAGTAATTTAAATACAAGTAAAACATTGTGTCAATAACGTTTTCTTTTTTTTTATCTCTAATATTTCTTTATTATAGGTAGCTAGCTACCATCTTATATCTTCTTTCTCCTCTTCCTCTTTCGAGAATCTGATTCTCTTCTTTCTTCTTGTTTCGCTTCGCATGATTTTATGGGAATCTCAAAAATGCGGAAAAAACATTATTTATAATTATGTTTTACTAATCAAGACCAAAACTGTATACACATGAAAGCTCCTATAATGATAATCTAATCCAAGGCACAGGCTTGGCTTGCCAGCCCTAGAAAGAAAAGGCTTGCCAACCCCAGAAAGAAGCTTGGCAAAACCGGAGAAGAATCTCCAACACCAAGGAAAAAAGGCCAGGCGACCGCGGGGTTAGAAATGACCGAAAAAGATGAAGTCAAGCAGCGTTTTGCCGGCCTAAAAACGCCGCAATTTTGGGGTTTTCGATGGTCAGGCACTGTCTCTCGGGGGAGAACCACCAGTGGATGTCCTTGTAGACCTTCGTGGTGTTGTCAGTGTGGAGGCGTTCGCAGATGTCACACATGGCGTTCCTCAGGATGTCTCCGCGAATGACCGGCTTGTATTTTCGCTTCCATCTGCAATGCAGGTTAGAGCAAGTACTTACATAGACCTTGGTTAAAGCGCGTGATCACGCGAGATTTTTAATTTTTGGATACTTTACTATAGAAGCACAACCAAAAAGTCCTGAATTGATTAAGTTTAAGGATATATTTACAGCACTTTACTGATGACATGCTATTCTTCATCGTATAGCGTTTAGAATGCTGTCCGTACCATTATAGATACGACATTATATTCAACTCTTGTTCATCAACCCAGATATTACTCACAAGAAATATTCGTAATAAGCCGTGTGGTTATTCTTCAAGTAGATGAGGTAGTTGGCAAGAGCCGTCACGTTGGGGAAGGCCAAGGCGTTGATGACTGAATGCGGGGGGGCGTTCTTGACGTAGTTGCCCAGACCCCACACCACGGGCACCACGTAGTTCCTGCAGAGATCGCGTCGTTGGTGAATCACAATGCTTCTTTAGTTTTATTTTATTTATTTTATTATCTTATATCTTATTATTTTCTTGTTGTTTCATTTATATCTTTATTCTTGTTTATTGTCATTATGTTATTATTTGTTTATTCTTATCTATTCTAATTGCTATTTATTGTTATCTCTTATAGTCATGTTATTATTATCTATTATCTTATTCATTATTATCATGCGATTGATATGTTAATTAACTTTATTTTACTATAATTTTCATAATATTATTTTCATGATGTGAGCAACTTTCGCATGGCATTCTTATGCTTTAAGTTGAGGGTAAACTTATAGCAAAAAAAGGAATAAAAGAATGCGATAATGGTAATGATGACAGTAATAATGATAATAATGATTATAATGATAATAATAATGATAATAATAATAATAATGATAATAATAATAATAATAATAACATGACATAATATATAATAATAATAAATATGCTAATAATTAATAATAATAATATAATAGTAATGCTAAATAAAATGATAAGATAATGATAATAAAAATGATGATAATATTGATAATGATAAAAATCATTTCCTCTTTTATAAACTTTTTTTTACAGTGTATATTAACCCTTCCTGACACGGCACACTCAAGGACAAACCTCAAGGTATAGTAAAGCTTCTCGGTGATGTAGTCCTCGCAAAGGGAGTTCTCGAGGGCGAGGTAGAAGTAGTACTTCTTCTCCAACATGCCCTCGCAGTCAGACTGGCCCCGGATGCACGTGAGAGTCCCACACGCCCCGTAAATGTCCACTGTAACGTGCTTCTGCAGTTGCTTCACCAGTCTGTCCCCGAAATCGGAGGGTTAGACTTAAGGATTGGAGAGAGAAGGATGGGGTCTTGGTGGTCGTTAATGGTCGGTGGTTTAAGCAAATAGATGTGACTGATTTGTGGATTTGGAGATGGTTGAGGTTAAGGATGGTGGTTGTTAATATTTAATGGTTTAAGTAAATAGATGTGGCTGAGTTTGCTGAAAATGGAGGAGAAACTTAGTGTCGTGAATCGTAGAACTGTAAAAAAAAAAAAAAAAACGAACAGGGAAACATATGGGCGGAGCATTAGGCAAATGGGAGTGGATATATTATGATCATGAAGAGAGAGAGAGAGAGAGAGAGAAAGAGAAAGAGAGAGAGAGAGAGAGAGAGAGAGAGAGAGAGAGAGAGAGAGAGAGAGAGAGAGAGAGAGAGAGAGAGAGAGAGAGAGAGAGAGAGAGAGAGAGAGAGAGAGAGAGAGAGAGAGAGAGAGAGAGAGAGAGAGAGAGAGAGAGAGAGAGAGAGAGAGAGAGAGAAGAGAGAGAGAGAGAGAGAGAGAGAGAGAGAGAGAGAGAGAGAGAGAGAGAGAGAGAGTGAGGAAGAGTGAGAAAAGAGAGAGAGAGAGAGAGAGAAGAGGGGAGAAGAGAGGGGGAGGAAAGAGTGGGAGAAAGAGAGAGAGAGAAAGATATATAGAGAGAAGAGGAAGAAGGGGGAGGAAGAGTGGAGAGAGAGGAGGGACAGAGAGAGAGAGAGAGAGAGAGGAGAAAGAGAGGAGAGAGAAGAGAAGAGGAAGAGAGAGAGAGAAAAAAAAGAAAAATCTCAGCGCTTACTCCTCCCTGCCGCTCATGGAGTTGCAATCGGAGACGAACCAAGCGATGAGTCTCGTCTTGTTCCTCATGACGGCGGTCGGCCTCCCGATCTTCCTCTCGCCGAGGCTCTCGTACATGCCGTAGCTATTATGATTTATTAATTATTATTATTATTATTTGTGCATGCTGTAGCTATTGTGCATGCTATTATTTATTTATTATTATTATTATTATTATTGTTCGTGCATGCTGTAGCTATTGTTATTTATTTATAATTATTATCATTCGCGCATGCTGTAGCTATTATTATTATCTCATTATTATTATTCGTGCATGCTGTAGCTATTTGTTATTATTACTATTATTATTCGTGCATGCTGTAGCTATTATTATTATTTATTATTATTATATGCTGCAGCTGTTATTATTAGTCGTGCATGCTGTAGCTATCATTATCATTATAATTATTTATCTGTATATAGCTATTATTATTATCGTGCATGCCGTAGCTATTGTTGTTTATTTTATTATCATGCTGTAGCTATTATTTGTTACTATTTATTATTATTATTGTTCGTGCATGCTGTAGCTATTGTTATTTATTTATTATTATTATTAGTCGTGCATGCTGTAGCTATTGTTTTTATTTATTATTATATTAGTCGTGCATGCTGTAGCTATTGCGTGCATGCTGTAGCTATTATCATTTATTAATTATTATCATTATTCGTGCATGCTGTACTATTATTATTTATTTATTATTATTATTCGTATGCTGTATCTATTATTTATTATTATTATTATTCGTGCATGCTAGCTATATTATTTATTTATCATTATTATTATTACTTGTGCATGCTGTAGCTATTATTATTATCGTTAATCGTAATAGAAGGTTACATTTTTGCATGGGTTTTGCTTTTAGTTCCTCGGGTTTTTATGTCGGTCTGTTTTTTTTTCTTGTATTTGTCTCTGTTTGTTTGTCTGTCTGATTCTCTCTTTTCTTTTACTTTTTTTTTAAATCAGTCCCTTGAATGTGACGGGATTTTCCCCCTAATGACATTGCATTAATCTGTCCTTTGCATTTTTTTTTCACTGTCATCTGAAAATTTGTTTGTCTGTTTTTTTTGTGTCCGTCTCCTACGAGAATTTATCTTTTGTTTATGTCTTTTTTTTTTTTTTTGTTTTTTTTGTGTGTCGTTTGTATAACTGTCTTTTTTCGATCATGCTCTTGTATGACTGTATTTTCTAGAGCCGTATAATCAGTTTGTCTATTTTGGAGTTTTTTTTTTTTTTTTTTGAAGGTAGTATTGATTTTGATTTGTTGAAGTTAATTACCCGTCTCTTAGATAGTCCCTGGAATACAATGTCTTTCTTTTCTTCTTCTTCGTCTTATTATCGGTATGTCACGTTCTTTCAATTTTTTGTGATGTTTGACGATTTAAAGTTATATGTACTTAATCTTTCAACAATCAAGAAATACTATGATATAGGCAGTTGTGTCTCAATTGAAATCATAGGGAATACTTGAATATATACATATATTTATATGCTAAGGAACATCTTTCAAAATAAGACATTGAATGTGTAAGTCATAATAGACAGACAAGAATCTTTCTCAGAATAAACTCAAAAAGAGAGAAAAAAACATAAATTCAACTTAATTAGATTCCCTGTGACAGATTAGATCCTTGCCTTTCCGATCCTATTCCCGCTCCTCTCCTGTGTCTCTCAAACCCGCATCATTCTTCACCTTTCCTTCTTCTCTTTTTCTAATCTCTCAGCAATCCTTTCTTTTCTCATTCAGGCTTATTAAGATCCCCCTTTTAATGAATGAATGAAGACTCTTTATAACCTGGACTTTCCCTTGAATTTACGAAAGCGGTTTTCCTCTCTTTTCATGAATGAATCAAGACGCTCTACTCTCCTTTAATGAATGAATAAATACTCTTTCCTCTCTTTCAATGAATGAATGAAGACGCTATATTCTCCTTAATGAACGAATAAACGCTTTCCTCTCTCTTCATGAATGAATCAAGACGCTCTACTCTCCTTTAATGAATGAATAAATATTTTTTTTTCTCTTTCAATGAATGAATCAAGACGCTATATTCTCCCTTAATGAACGACCCAAGGCGCTTTTCCTTTTTTTTAGATGAATGAAACAAGACGTTTTTCTCACTCACGGCGCGTAGATATCGGCGTCGTTGCGGTAGTGCAGAGTCCAATTGAAGACGCCGTTGTAGCTGGAGAGGCTCCCCGACTTGATGCCCCGGATGTGGTAGGAGGCTTCGTGGGTGACGATGACGTAGCGGGTATGGGGGGACCTGTTGCTGTTGGGGGGGGGGGGGCATGGGGGTATGAGGAACATTGTTTTTTTGTGGATTATAATTATCAAGGGGAGTATTTAAGGTTTCTGTAGGTTTATATCTGGTGAGGAGTTTAGTTGTTTGGGTATGATATTTATTGATTGTTTAATTTATTAGTAGAGTACCCTCTAATAACAGGTGTGATTCGTGTTATATACATACATTTATACATATATATTATATACACACACACATTATATATGCACACACACACAGACTCTCTCTCACTCTCTCTAGCATACTGCATAACATAATGTATCATGCTAGTTCACAGACCATTTGGGTTTGCACGTATTCGGCATGTTGCTGACTTGTGGGGGATTCTGAATATACGCCCCCTCGTGTGTGCCACCCAAGACAGCCTGGGATGTGACACAGGCCAATGAGAGGTCAGCGCAGGTTGACCCAGTCTCACTCGCTTAGACACAGACTCACCCACTCTACGAGAGCGACCTGCATCTCTACTGGCCGTTTCCCCGCCTCACCAGGGTGGGCTGGCCGCGGATCCACCTGAGTCAACTCGTGTGTCAACCGTTATTAATAAATAGTCAGCCATTTCCCGTATATTACTCTGCCCGACCAGTCTCTTCAGAGGCGTGGGTTCGAATCCCACCGCTGCCACCAGCTGTAAGAGGTGATGAACCTCCTCATTGATACTGGTTGGCAGAAGTGATACTAGTTAAACGGCTGACTATGAATGTTAACACATAAGTTGAACAGAACACAATGCGAAACTGGTCAGCGCTAAGAGTGGATCTGTGGCAGCCCCCCCCCCTTGGCGAGGCAGTGGCACGGTCAGCAGAGAGGCCGGATTGCTTTCTTAGTGGGTGAGTCTATGTCTGAGCAAGTGAGTGAAAGTATGTCAACTTGCACTGACTTCTTATAGGCCTGAGTCGTGACCCAGGCTGGCTTGGGTAGTGTACATGAGGGGGCGTATATTTAGAATCACCTCATGAGGGAGCAGCATGGTGAACCCCTGCAAACCTGCATAGTCTGTGAGCTTGCACGATACATAATGTTATGCAGTATGCTGTATTGATAGCACGTGTTCGCCATGCTGCTCCCTCGTGGAGCGACCAAGGCCTATGAGAAGTCAATGCAGGTTGACCCAGTCTCACTCACTCAGACAAAGACACCCACTCTACGAGAGCGATCCTGCTTCTCTGCTGGCCGTGCCCCCGCCATGCCAGGGGGGCTGTCGCGGATCCACCCATAGCATTGACCAGTTTTGTATCGTGTTTACCTCGTGTGTTAACTATTATTAGTAAAGAGTCAGCTATTTAACTAGTATCACTTCTGACAACCAGTATCAACGAGGAGGTTCATCACCTCTCACGCTCTCTCTGTCTATGTATATGTATGTACATGTAGATATGTGTGTATGTGGATGTATTTATGTAAAACTATATGCATACATTTGAAATATATTTCTGTTTGTTTTTCTTTTTGTTCTCTGCACGAGTAAACTCCTTCCCGAAATAATAGACAGTGAATTTAAAGAAAACCTCCCCCTTGGCCTCGCCCAGAGAAAACTGCCTCACTGGAAAGACCTCCACTTCTTTCTCCTTCCCCCTCTCCCCCGCTCTCTACCCCGGCACTGACCTCTGATCCGGGAAGCTGCTGTCGGCCGCGTTGGCGTGCCACAGGACGGCGTCCAGCTGCGACAGCGGGTAGCGGTTGCGGTCCTTCGTGAACACGCAGTTGGTGTAGCGGCAGCCCTGCTTCACGAACGGCTCGTGGCCCTCCTCCAGCTTGAAGTTGTACTGCGGGGGGGGGGGGACTTCAACCTTCAAGTTATTATTAGGATGATTGGTTTGACGTTTGTAGTGTGTCTTAGAAGCTTCTGCTGGAATGTGTATCAGATGCTTTAAACTGACGTTGATTTTATAAGTTACATTAGGTCCCTTAAAAGAGCTTTGTTAAATGGACCAGAACTTTGAAATGCATTGTTTTATTTTTGTGTATTTTGTCCTGGTCAACAAAGTTTGTATCATTTGTATCACTGTATTATCACATTCCCTGTGACGAAGCTTAGACAAATTAGAAATCTGTGCAAGACGTGTGTCGAGTAAGGCTTTGCTCCACTGCACAACCACGAAAACGAATCCTTAAACCTAATGGCAGATATCACTTGTAGAATGGATGAGCATTTGACTAGGGCATAAGTCGCATTGTAAAAGCTGGAGACTGACGAGGGCAGACTGTGACGGCATGCAAATTCAGTGAGAAGCACAAGTCAAGATTGTGTATCATTGTATATTGGCCTATTTTGTATAGACTACATTACATACCATGCATTAACATGTGAATTTTCTCATTGGATCTGACTGCAAGAAAACACTTTTTCCCTAGCATGAAAGCTGGCCCGAGTTTCGCGCGTTTCACAGTTTCGTGCAGCCCACTATATCATGTGTGTGTAAAAGGGAAACCCGAAAATCTGTTAGATATTTAACTCACGTAGTTCCACTGAAGGATTTTCTTCATGGACGCCTCCTGCTCGGGTTCAAGGACCTCCTCCGCTTGGATCCTTTTGTAAGTGTCTGGAGCCCTTGAAGTCATGAGGGTTGCCATTAGCATAAAAACAACGACAAATAATCATGTTGCCATACACATTGTGGCTTCCATGAAGTAGAGAGCAGTACCATTAGCATAAAAAGATCCTGCTGCCATACTCACTTTAGCTTCCATAAAGTCAAGAGGGAAACCATTAGCATAAAAAACAACAACAAAAAAATAATCTTGTTGCCGTACGCATTTTGGTTTCCCTAAAGTCGAAAGGAGTAGCACACACGTAAGAAAAGATCCTGTTGCCATACGCATTTTGGCTTCCAGAAAGTCAAGAGGGATCGATTAGCATAAAAAAAACAAATAATCTTGTTGCCATACGCATTTTGGTTTCCCTAAAGTCGAGGGGGTAGCACGCGAATAAAAAAGATCCTGTTGCCATACGCATTTTAGCTGCCAAAATCAAGAGGGATCTATTAGCATAAAAAACAAAAAATAATCTTGTTGCCATACGTATTTTGGTTTCCCTAAAGTCGAAAGGAGTAGCACACACGTAAGAAAAGATCCTATTGCCATACGCATTTTGGCTTCCACAAAGTCAAGAGGGATCGATTAGCATAAAAAAACAACAAATAATTTGTTGCCATACGCATTTTGGTTTCCCTAAAGTCGAGGGGTAGCACACGAATAAAAAAATATCCTGTTGCCATACGCATTTTGGCTTCCACAAAGTCAAGAGGGAAACTAATAGCATAAAAAACAACAACAAATAATCTTGTTGCCATACGCATTTTGGTTTCCCTAAAGTCGAAGGGGTAGCACACGAATAAAAAAATATCCTGTTGCCATACGCATTTAGCTTCCATAAAGTCAAGAGGAAATTATTAGCATAAAAAACAACAACAAATAATCTTGTTGCCATACGCATTTTGGTTTCCCTAAAGTCGAAAGGGTAGCACACGAATAAAAAAGATCCTGT